TTTTATTATGGTACATGGATAATAAATAAGCTGATAGTTTACGTGATGAAAACTGGTTACCGATGCCTGTAGACATGAACATCACCAGTACACTGATTATCATGGTTCACTCATGCGTTACCATTCCTGAGTTATAATAAGGTCATAAGAATTTTATTAATATTACTTTTTACTAATAATAAAAGTTTGTAAATATGTTAAGATGTCTATTACTTAATAATATGTGGATTGAATTAAATTAAAGTACCAGCTCGTTTTAATTTATCTCTGATTAATACTGTCTTATGATACGGTTATCCTAATTCGTGTGACTGCTAGTACGACAATGAACGATAAGAAAAAATTTTATTTGGATATCAACTTAAAGATAGGTGTTACATATTTTGGAGTTTATACCCAATCATAAAATCAAGATTGTATTTTGTAATTTTCTGACAGTTAAATAATTATTATTGCTGTGTGTTCCCCGCCATAGAATAGGCAACCCCTTCTTTTCCCGTGCATGTCGTAAGAGGCGACTAAGGGAGGGCGAAGGATGGGCAGCAGCGCCCCTTTTAATGGGGAAGGCCTAAGTCCAGCGGTGGACAGTCAACGGCTGAAATAATAATAAAATAATTATGTAATCAGTGTTTATGTTGCTTAGCGATAAGGCCGCCTTTTGTATCACTTCTCATTAATAATTATTGTATTTGTTATTTTTCGTTTTACTTGGTGCAATAAAGTGTAAAAAAATAAATGTTTCGCTTTGACGATGGAATAGGTATGTCAATGAAATTACATGGCACCGAGACATAACACCATGATGCATACAGTGTATTCTGTGATATCCATGTTGTATATCGGCGATAATTATCACTATCCGTTAGCTTTTTTGCCATTCTAAGTATTATAAAATAAAATTAGTGTAATTAACTTATCTAATTTGTGTAAATTTGGACAAGTTAGTTATGCTTGTAAGTCGAATTGTTTTTAAAATATTTTTTTTGTGTGACAATTTATGCTAAGTTAATAATTGTTTATATACATAAATAAGTAAGCAAACAATAGTTAAGATGTGCTAAAATAATGAATGGTAATTACACTGATGCCGTTCATTATTTAATGACACAGTTTGTGAGAGACTGAAATAATTGAAAATGCCCGCTGCAAAAACTGTCGGTCATGGTTGTCTCTAGATTACAATAACAGGCTTTGAATAATATTTACAAATATTACCCTCTATAGATCTTTAGCTTTTTGAATACTTGCATAACTAATGCATTTCCGTTTTTACGGTGAAGTAAGAATACATATGCATATGTAAGGATTATTTGATTATTTTTAAGCTAACTGAACCGTAAATAAGTATTAATATACATACATATCTATTATCTACTATTTGACAGAATTTTTGTAAACAAATTTCATGGTTATTAGATAAATTTATTTTCGGGACTTAATCCCTGCTTTTCAGTAAATATATTATATCTAAATATCTGATTGTTATTATTGTAAGTTTTTTTCTTGTGCATAATAATGATATTGAATTAATTGATTTTTTGATGCCATGTGGTCTCAGCATACAAGTCACCTCTACCTTTTCGGTGGGCGAGACGACTTAATCGTCGAGGGATGGCTAGCAGTGTTCTTAAAACATCAACAATCTGCCTGCTAAGCGCGGCAACTACTGGCAAATCTCAAAAGGGAAGTTTAGCAGTAAACTCACCTATGTTCGGCAGTGGACCGTTAACAGCTGATATAATAATAATAATTATTGTTTTTTAGTCAATGTAAAATATAGTTTTTTAGTTATAGTTATATAATTCGTGCAAAAATATCGTGGAAATATCTTAATATTCATATCATAATCGTTTAGTTATTGCGGAATGTGATCATGCGATAGCATTATTTTAAAAGTTAACTGCGTACAAATTAGTATCCATACATAATTAATTAGTGTTATAATAACAATTTTTATTTAAAAATATGTATTTAGTATAGAAGATCGATACGAGCATAAGTGGGTGATGTTCGTATCGTACGAAACACCTGTTAGCAATGTATGCTATATATGTTTATCTTTTGTATCAGAGAACAATACGCACCGAGTGTATTTTTCGTGGCTTCAATGGACTTGGTGGTTAATCTAGAAATAAAAGGCACATTATGGGTATGCGTTCTCGATTACTGCTGGCGGCAGGTACCCATGCCTAATTATTAGTTATGTGTTCCACAGGTGCATTGCAAGAATACCGTAATTGACCTAGTTGAAAATATTATTTGAAAGGGTAAAACTTTTATCATTGCAACGTATCATTGTATCTTCGTTCTCTTCTGAACATGTCTGTCCCATATTTTGCCATGATTTTCTGAGCTAAATACATCCATCGTCTACTACTTTTTGGGGTTATCATTCCATCTCGTTATTGTTGTCCGACACTGCACTTACATGTAGGGGTCATCACGAGAACTTATTAATAAGGTAATAAAGCCGATAGCCCTTAACCGGCAAGAAAGAAAGATCTTTTATCTAATTTATAAGTGACATAAAACATGAATAATTTACATTACTAAGTTGCATTATTGGTGAAACGTATTTTAACCAACTATAAAACGGTTTAATGTGTTCTGTGTGTACTATTTTTTTGTATAAGTTACACAGACCGATTATTTTTCGATTTACGATTTACGAATTGCGTGATTAAGTAAGCGACTTAAAAAAAGAAGAGGTTCCAGTTTACTGTTATTTTATTTTGTGCAACGTTACGCGGTATATCGTCAATTTTAAACTAAAATTGATATTTGTGTTCGAAAGGGTTTATTTCACTTCCATGTATGTACTGTATTAATTTTGTTATAACCACATCAGTGAAATTAAAAGGTATGGAGATATAACATTTTACTCCTCAGGAATGGGAATGCCTAAGTATTACCATAGATATTACAGTGTATTTTGCAATACGTATGATACTACGTATGTCTATAAGCGACGGTTCCAGTTTCCATCAACCATTCTAAGTATCATAAAAAATGTTGTTAAAAAGTACCTTCACCTGAATCGTTTCCTAATTAACAGTTCTAACGCGTGTAATTTCTGACTTCTACAACAATGTTTAGACTTGCGTAATCTTAAATAAAAATAAGTTACATATGTCCGCACCTGTAGTAAAGAATAAATATGTGTTTATTCTGTGCCTGTAGGCAAGACGTCGTATTTGTAATAACTGTAGTGGGTAAATAGTGTACGTCATAACGAGCTAGGCATTGTTCATGGTTAATATTTAATTACAAATGGCTAGGTTACGTCACAAAAGACTTGACTATTAAATTTTGGAACAGAAACAGTTTTTATAAAATTTTGATAGTTTAAGGGTCCTATTGGGTATTTATATTTACTACCCTCATTATATTGTCTACCTATGAGAGTACTCCTAATTGGGGGGAGTTATGCGTAAAAATAGCCATCTCTAGACATTATAGGTAATATGGTTCTTTTCTACACAACGAGCTTCAATTAAACCGAATTTAATAACGCCCTATTTATAAAAGCTAATCATGCATAGAATTGCAATACATTAATTAATAAATCACAGAGATAGACACAAATAGATATATCTATTTGTATCAAACTAAGGCTGTCAGTACTAAACTATCTACGTGTTTTAATTTTACAAAAGAGTTTTTTATTTATGTTAAAAGTTCTAAACATAAAATCCTTTCGAAAATACTGTGAGTCATACAAAAAATAACAATATTTTAACTATAAGAAAAGTCGGATTGATTGGATATGAATTTTTGTCGAGAAAGCTCGATAAGTTTCGAGGCCATCTGGAACTCCTAATCATGAGTGGTTATAATGCGAATGAAACTCTTTAATTTTTACTTTTCAACCGAGTTTAAAAAGAAGAAGGTTCTTAATTCAGTTGTATTTTTTTTTATTCCCTCATAACCCCATCAGTTAAAAATCAATTTGGCAAATTCTTTTTTTTCCTTACATATTGATCCTATAGAAATTTTATCAAAATTTGTTCAGTAGTAATTAAAATAACTGGCTCTGTTACAATTGAAGTAGTTTTTTTTGTGGAACTTCATTTACATAGTTATGTAGAATTTTTGTATCGAAATTAAATTGGAGTTGATTAGTCCTTATTGAGCCTAATTTAAAGCCAAAAATTTAATGGAGTTTCGTCATTTAGAATCATTTGCTCATATTCATATCCTAATCTAATCGGAAACTAAAATTACGTAACACGTAACACCTGATCAACTACCTACATTGCTTTTAAATAGAACGGAAAAAATTATAAAGTACTCTCGGGACTCAAATCTGCAACTTCCCCTTCCGCAATTAGAGATCCTACAGATCAAGATTTCTCTCTGTTGGAGTAGTGTGTGTTTAATAACATGTACAATGTTGTTAAACTTGTTCATATAATATTTCAAACGGTGGTCATCTCTTCGCATTACGAATAAATAATAAGCTAATCAACGACAGAATGACAATGGGATTGGTTCATATTATGGGAATGGGCATTAGTAGTAATTATTATATTAACATACTTACTAGTTAAGCCACTAAATAATATATCGGTGATCTACAGAATTGAATAATATACAGATAAGCTGACAATAATGATAAGGCGACAGAGTTAAAATAAGTAGCCAACTTACATATGAAGTTCGATGAACTTTCGTTTACGAAATGGGGAAAGGTGTTTGAGGAAATCGTATCGGTAACTGGAAATTTCCCCTTGTTACCCAAGCAAGCTGCTTGCAGAATAATACCTATACGGATATTATTTAATTTATAATAACAAAGTATAATTAACATTTTTATATCACGAAACTAATTTATATTTGTATGTAATTTATATTCTTTATTGTTTATTAGGTTTCACACAAGTTCTCGAGTCCCTATATTATTGCACCGGCAGTTGAATGACATTTTATAAAGCGCGAATAGTTAAACAATTAAATGCTCGTCCCTGTATAGACATCCAGAATAAATATAAAATGCTTACCTCAAAGGTGATGACGCCTTTATATCCATATTTGTCGAATATTTTATCAATGAAGTACTGTTCAGCGGGCAATGTATTGTTCACATCCAGGTCTAGCGAGGAGCTAGCAGCGGCGACGACGGCATGCGACGCCGCTAGGGCTACGACGAGGCACGTTGTCAACATGCTCGCGACTGAGGGTCGGCCGCACCGGTGCGGTGCGCTAGCGCTCCCGCCACACCACTATCAGCCGATCAGGCACGAGTGCGTCTCATTTAACGCGATAATGATGCGTCTGTCCGCTTCTATTGTTTATTTGTTTGTGATCAACAACGGCGAAATCGCAAATCGATCGAATAATCTATAGGAGACGTGCTCGTTACTTGACGCTGGGTGTACGTCTGTGACTTTCACCTGCAAGTTTGTTGTCTCCGAGGCCGGTTTCTAACACCGTTACTGATAATATGGTATATTTACGCAGAGACCGGCGACAAGTGAGCCTTAACCCATGCAGCGGACGGCTAAATACCTCGGGGTTTGTCAAGGCGCCAACGCAGCGTCTCGGCTGGAAAAAGTTTACGGGTATTTTAAATTATTAATTGATACAGCTGTGAGTGTTTTTAAGTTTACAATGTACAGTGACAATATTTAATGATCACTTCTTCACTCGTCAGACAAAAAGTCACTAGGAAATTCTAATTGATGACTGGTAGACACGCATTATATGAGTACAATTGATATGCCTAAGATAAATATTAGAACAATAATTTGTTAATATCTTTACATTAAATATTAGGTTCGTATTATTTTTTTATTTGGCAGACAGTTGATTTTTTATTCAGATCGCGAATTTATTGTTATTTAATATTCACACAATCACACGCACACGTGTGCTTCCTACTACATAGTCCATAGAAGAACTCCTTAGGTGCCTACATATTTACGTTATAAGTTATTATAATAAAGAACTACGAATGCACAAGTCATTTAATATTATGTAATTAGTTTGAATTCGTTATAAAAACTTATAAATTATGTAACAGTGCGATTGTCCGCCAATCTGGGGAAAGTCATCTATTTGGTAGATGTCTATTAAAGTCGATCGCTTAGATAAGTTAGATAATAAATGACACTTACTCACATTTATTTGTTCATTGTGATAGACATAATAATATTAATAAGGATTAGTGAAGTCATAGTAGGATTTTATTTACCAATCAGTAAGTATCTTTGTGCATAAAGAAGGCACATGGAAACTCTCAACAAAAATTAATACTGGCATAAAAACTTTTTATTATATTTTTTAATTTCAAATAAAGAATAAAATAAAATTGTCATAAAAATGGAGAATAAAAAATTGTATTCCTAATTAACTTTGGCCTTTTATATATTAAATCCATGTATCTATATTGAGTACAATATAAATCCGGCTCGAAGGACCAAATTTATATTGTACTCAATATAGATACATGGATTTAATATATAAAAGGCCAAAGTTAATTAGGAATACAATTTTTTATTCTCCATTTTTTATGACAATTTTATTTATTCTTTATTTGAAATTAAAAAATATAATAAAAAGTTTTTATGCTAGTATTAATTTTTGTTGGAGTTTCCAACAGGCGACACTCACAAGAGTAGTAATATGTGGTAGTAGTAATTTACCTACTTATCTGTTTAAAGAATAGGCGCAAATTTATAATAATTTCTTATTTATCTTATACAGTCAACATTTCTTTATCCACTATATATAATTATGCCTTATACTATACGTATTATATTATCTGTGGTATACAATATATACCTATAAAATGAATGTTCTTATATTTATATTTTGCTCGGAACTGTAATGTGATGATATGGTTTGAAGTGATTCATCCAAATTATTGATTTATTAAAAATTTCTAACGAAAGACTATCGAAAACTCATTATTTTTATTATAAAGACAAATAATATGCGACTTTGTCCATCTGAATTAACGTGTTTGTTACTTGACGAAATATACAAGATAAAAGTATGTATGTATATTTATTTGGTTTTTAAATTATACATATAAACTACTGAACGCATTTTGATAAATTTCTAAATAAGTAAGATCAATCTGTAAGTATATCCTTTCAGTTAAAAAAGAACTTTCTTAATCGGTTTATATCTGACGGAGTTATGAGATAATAAAAAATTTAGATAAAAAACTTGATTGAAATAAAAAAACCTTTTTTTTAAGTGAGTTGAAAATGAAGACAACTATAGACAAATAAACGAGTTTTTTTTTTTATAAAAAAATCACTATAGATAAATTAATGAGCTTTTTTCTTTTTATGAAGAAATTCTTCTTTTTTAACTAACTTCAAAAAGGAGGTTCTCAATTCAGTTGTTTTTTTTATATTTGTTACTCCATAAGTCTGTCACTTATAAACCGATTTAGATTTTTTTTCTGAAATAATATATATTTTGCAAAGCAGAAATAGGTATGCCATGCCATGAAATTTAATACCCATCCCAAATAAATGCACAAGCAACTGCTGTCAATAAATATATTGTATTTTATTACACTGTCAAAGCTTATTGCTTTATAAAATCTCTTGGTAACAACCTAGTGATACCTATTAGTCAAGATCCAGATTTCTCCAATAAACCTCGTATTTACTGTGGTTAGAAGAGTAGCCGTCGCCCATCAGTTTTTCGGGTTGGAATATCCAGATCAGCTTCTTTTTACCCCAGCCTGTCTGATGCCTGTAAATAGTGTCATACCCTGTTTTTTAATTGGGAGAATATGTAATAATATTAGGTGAATATTCCCTATATTTTACGCAACTACACTAAAGGGAATTATTGGTAATAGAAACTAGCGGCCTCATTATCAACAATAACTCTGTCAGGTCGATTTTTACGCAATTAAAACGATAAGTCGGCTCATCTGAGTTCATCCTCATCTATCATCCCTCACTGATACCATCGATGGCCTAACAAAATATATTGTGTGGATAATCTCTAGTTCCTATTAACGTTACAATTCGTGTACGAATGCCCTAATTGATTTTCCATTTCCTGTTTCGCTGTGGATTTATAGATTCTCGTTATCGCACCTACTTATCAAATTTTGTAAAAGTTTATTAAATATTCAACATAAGATATACCCAAAATAAATATAATTGATTTGTACATAAACATATACATATTACATAAACATTAAATTTCTATATATTTTCATTATACCTATACACACATACGAGTATATATATTTGTGACGACGCAACATTTTTCTCTGAAAACTGTAGACTACTGTTTTATTACATTGATAACTTTTTTTTTTTTATACAACTTAGAATGGCAAACAAGCTGACGACTCACCTGATGGAAAGTGGTAACTGTCGCCTATAGACATGAGCAGTAACATGGACATAACAGATTATACTGATTCGCCCATGATAGCCCCCATGCGTTGCCATTCCTGAGGACTCAGGTGTTATTCCTCTGTATCCATTCAAACCGAAACACAGCCATGGGATAGAGGTACCCAAGCAATCGACTTTTGTACAAAGTCTCCCTCTGGTGACGATAACGTACTAGTAAGGGCTTCCTACTATTAAAGGTTAAATATTTATTTTCTTACTAATTAAATTAAGAACTTTTTTTAAAGCATTATAATTAATAATTAACCCATTCATTATCATCATTCATCTCTCCCCCCCCCCCCCCCTCCCTCCCCGTCTGCGCTATCGGTATACACCGGTGGGGCACCAGTAAGGAATGATAAGTGAAAATGAAAGAGTAGGTATTTTTAATGAATGGTAATAGAATGGTGACTCCGCCTGCGCTATCGGTGTACGCTGGCGGGCACCAGTGAGGGATAATAGGTAAAAATGAAGCAGATCAGTTAGCCCACCGTAACGAATCTAACAATAAATCAATCACGATGGTTTCCAGTGGGAACCAAGAGGAGGTCGACCTGACGGGATATATTGCTAGCAATATATATTGGTAGTCTACATTATTAACAATACCTCCCCCTTCCCAATTTAGAAATTCATCTTCACCTATTTAAGGTGAAGATGAAGACAGATTTGTTGAATCATCTTTATATCATGATTTTCAAGGGGATGTGTAGGTGAATCTGATAGGGTTATTGTTAGCCAGTATTAACATACACTGGACTTACTAGTAAAATATTAGGTATTTTAAAAACTATGGTATCACAGTATGGCAATGAAACGTGTAATATCGTAGCAGAATGCAGATTCGTCCAGTTGTTTACGATGTCCCATCATAGTTTGTTTACAGTATTTCGTAAACATCAGAATTCGACTAATACTTTCCATTGATAATTCGATTACTGTGAAGATTTAGTGTTAATGATATGACACGATAAAGTAATATTATTTATCGACAACGCCTAAAGCAAATATTCCCAGCCACCAACATAGATAGTGAATGTAAATATTACTACAATTTACTATTTAATGTACGTCTATCGAACATTTTGATAAGTATACCTACCTCTGTATACCGATAACTATCCACTTTCTGAGGATTTGTTAGGGCTTTCTATCGAACACATATTGCGCAAGGGACTTATGTAGTTTCAAAAAATAAAAAAAATGTTGATTTTCCATGTGCTCGTGTCGATCTATGTAATCTATTTATACCTCCTTAATTTTGAGCAATAATGAAGGCATACATTATATTAGTTGCAAAGATGTAACATTTTTTTCTCTGGTATGCGTGTTGGTTTTCGAGGATAATATGTCCTCTATTAGAAAATGCACAGATATTGGCTTTCCCCTTTTAGATCACCAAAGTAACCTATGCTATGTTGCTTCACAGTAGATAGTGAACTAAGTACCTAAATTTTATGAAAATATAGTACAATTATCTGAACAACTGCCTTATTATTTTATACTACTAAAGCAATAAACAATGCAATATTAGATCTACTGAGGAAGAAGTAAATAGTGAGCAATTGAATTATTAAAGTAAATAAAGCACGTGAAAATAAATAGAATAACAAATGGCAAATATGTAGTTTGATTATTTATATAGGTAAGCGGATATTTACTTATTTCTTAGACGCCAGATGAAACGCTTCCGCATAATGGCGCAAATGTTATTTTTCGATTTCCTCAGTTGATAAATTTTGATAGTAAATTTTGTTAATGATACAGTTTTTTTAGGTATAACAGTGGACTCGAAATTACAATGGGGGCCCCATATTTCAAAATTGGCCAGTAGACTCAGTTCTGCTGCATATGCAATTAGAAGAATTAGGCAATTAACAGACGTGGCGACGGCTAAACTTGTATATTTTAGTTATTTCCATAGCATAATGTCTTATGGCATACTGCTGTGGGGTAAAGCAGCCGATAT